ACCTGGGCATTCCCATGCATTTTTTTCGTACTGCACCAGCCCCAGCACCTTGGTCATTTTGACCAGCGCCTTCAGGCCGTAGGGCAACATTGCCTCGAGTCTGTATTATCACAGTGGGCGAGGTGCTCCAGCAGGTCTGGCAACTGCACGGCCAGGACGTCGTGTGCAAAAGTCAAATCCACGACACCTACGCCAACATATATGTGCAACGATTCAAGCATGCAAGCCAGCAGGGCGACCAGCTGAACAATGCCTCATTGGCACATGTGGGGGGGCACAGGCCACGGGGTGTCGGAATATATTGAGTACAACTGGAATTATTCACCCACTTGCCCAATGCTTCATTTTTTGCTGTACCATTGCTTATTTCTTTATTTGTTTATTGTGCTCCATACTATCTGCAAACAGGCTTACGCCTGACATCAGCCTGTAGCTTCCAAGGTTCGTGGTTGATCACTGAAGCAAAGCTGCAAAGGAAAATATTCACATTCACACACCTTGGGCAACAAGCAAGACTAGGCCGACCAGGGGGTAACCCGCTCGTTGGATTTTGTTTGTCTGTCACATCGGCGGGAGATGCATGGACATGGCCCACTCGGAGTCAGAAGCACATGATAAGCAACACAGACAAAGTTCGGGTGTGTTAGAGATGTCTTCCAAGCACTTCAGCACAGAATTCACCTTTGCATTCCCATACATCCTTTGGTAGTGCAGCAGCCCCAGCAGCTTGGTGGTTTTGACCAATGAGCTCTTCGAAGTCCGTCATGAAGGGTGGCGCAACGTCAATGCATGTCCGCACACAGTTCATCCGCTCAAAGATGCCACACCTTGCTGCGAAGGCCAAGCTTGCAAGTGCCCCATGACACACCCTTGGCGAGGCAGCGATGAACCGGTGGCACTCCGCCCACACCGCCCACAGCGCTCCGCACTCCGCCCACAGCGCTCCGCACTCCGCCCACAGCGCTCCGCACTCCGCCCACAGCGCTCCGCACTCCGCCCACAGCGCTCCGCACTCCGCCCACAGCGCTCCGCACTCCGCCCACAGCGCTCCCAGCTCCACGCCCAGCCAAGGATCTTGCAGTGGCTCATTAAGCTGATTGAGATCTCAGCCACGCATCGGAGGGGACACCCAACCGATCGCGCAAAATGTGCTGTTGTGCGGAATGAGTTTGTAATTCGCACACCCACCCAATAGCTGGCAACCCTGCTGTACAGCTCCCCACACCTCCAGCGCCAGCCGGCAGTGGGCGAGCGGCCACAGGAGCGTCAGGCGGCAAGCAAGCGACTTTCCGATGCTCTCCAACGGCAAGCGGCGACTCTCCGATGCTTTTCAGGCGGACGCGGCCCCCCTCTGGCTCCGCCGCCAGCGCATGAGGTTGCAGGACAGGTGTGTGAACCCCCCCCCCCCGACCCTGGAAGTCTACGACACACACTGTTGCCAGCCCGCAGGCTTTTGCTTTGCTTTGCTTTGTCCTTTCACAGCTAGAGGCCTTGTGGCGTGCGGCTGCACCTCGAACATTTGTCCACCCTGGCCGATCGCTGCGTACGCGGACCCTGCAAGCCCGCCTCATGGGCTGCCCCGCGTCAACGCAACGAGCTGCCTGCCCAGAGCGGCAGCCGCCCCAGGTCAGTGGGCCGATGGGGAGCCTAGCGGTCCCTGAAGATGCGCTGTCTGTGGTCCAGGCGGGCGCGCGACCGGCCGGCGGCGGGCCCCGCTGCCATTGCGCAACCGGCGTCCCAGCGCCGCGCCAAGCACCGGCTCGGATCTCCCCGGTGCCGCGGAGCGCCGCGGGGCGGCCGCAGGCCGCTGGCCCGTGCGCCGCCACTCCGGCGTGGCGGCGGCGCCGGCGCCACGCCCCCCGCGCCCACCCGCCGGACCCCAGGCCCCCGGCCCCCGCCGAGGGGCGGGCCCCCGCCGGGGCGCCCCCGTCCGACGTGGCGCCCGCCGCGGGCCGAAACCGGTCCGGCCCGGAGCCCGGGGGACCGGGGTTCGCGGCTGGTTCGCGGGCGATAATGAATTACTCGTTTCACCCCCCGGGGCGCAACCCCCGCACCAAAGTACTGCGGCGATGCGTAACGGCGGCGTGACGCCCCGCGCACCGCGTCCCATTATTACTGAAACATTTAAAATGTGGCATTTCTAATGAAACATTCAAAAAATGTGGCGTTGAGGAAGGCAGGCAGGATCGAGGAGTGGCGATCCTTGAACGGGAATTGTTTACAGCCGAGGCAAAAGGACAACAGGCGTTCTGTCCTTTATATTCAGTCCGTTGATCAACGTCCTCAATGCAATTCCTAGTGCTTCGTCATCTTTTCATGCATTCAGTTATTAATGACACTCAATCAGTTCTAACTGTAACAGCGTGCGGAGCTGCACCTGCCGTATCTCTACATCACGCGATACGGCGTGTCTACGCTTGCCCCTCAGGCCACCGCGCCCACGTCTTGAGCCCTAGCTGCTGTGCGCCGGTTGCAAACCCGCCCCGCGCGGCGCGAACGCCTTCACGGCAACGCACACGAGTAGGCGCGCTGACTGTTGAACCTCGTCCGACCCGTCCTGCGCAAGATCGAGACCCGGAGTCCCATGCTCGCCGCAGAGACGGTCGCCAGTCGCGGCCAGCCATCGTCTCCGAGAACGAAGCGCGGGATGCAAGATAAAAACGGGGTACACGACGCATTAGAAAAGGCAAGCGATCAGCGCTCACCAGCCAAAGAGCACACGCAATCCGCCAGGAAGATCTTGGAATAGAGCTCCATACGGATTGACAGAAAAACGCGCCAACCTACATAAACACAACCCCCACAGACCATATCGCTGTAAAGTGATGGGGCTTGCGTGCAACCTGGGAGTCTACGACTGGTCAGCGCCCGGCAGTGGCCCCAATGGCATACAGTTACTGGCTGCACCAAATCGGTGACTTTCTGCACCAAATCCCTCCAAAACTAACCTAGCCTAAAAGCTAAACCCTTAAACCTAGCCATAAACCGAATCCGACCGTAATTCTAGGCCTAAAACTCACCCTAACCCTAAACCTGAGGTTAGGACACAGTGTGCATATGATTTGGTGCAAGCAGTCACCGATTTGGTGCAGGCAATAATATTATTTCGCCCCGCATTACCCGGGCACTGCCGTGTGAAAATGCTTTAATTTTGAGGGCAATGGCTTCTTTTTGGGCCTGTTCAAAGGAACGCTCCATCACGCTCAGAATGATGGGCGATTCCCCTCCAGAGTCAGCCAGAGAAGCGGCGACCACAGATCCGCCGCTTTCAGCCTTCGTTCGCAGCCCACATTCGCTGCCGGAACCAGCAGCACCTCCGCCTTGCAGCAGTCCCGTCCGCGGTTCGCGACTCCTTCGACGCACCGCGCAATGCGCCCTCCCTTTCGCCTCCCGTCGCTCTCCTCAACCCACGTCGCGCCAACGCCCTCGCCGGCGCACGGGGCCCTCCGCCCGCGATCGCACAGCCCTCAGGGGCGTGCCGACCCTTGACCGCATGCTTAGTGAGGCGCCGGCGTGTGGAGATGCCCCACGTTCGGGGCCCGCGTCCGGACGCTTGCGAGTAGCTATCCCCTGCGCCGCGGCCTCACGGAAGCCACGCCTTCGGCGTTGGGGGTCTTCGACTTGCCAGGCGGTTCTGAACGCGGCCTTGCGGCACTCGGAGCACGGAACCCAGCACCAACAGAGATCTACTAGTATTACAATGTCGCCATGTCCAGCTTTTGTACGCCAAACCACACATCGTACAATCGCATCAATCCTGTCACACACTCCAGCTGTCAATTCACTCACCATTCAACCCGACAGCCGCACTTCCATCACATAATCCAACGTGCCTCTCAACCAGACAGCTGTCATTGCTCTTGATTCAAACCCACAGCTGTCCTCCCGCTGAATCACCCAAATCCGTTGCCAGTGACAACCGGCCGGCCCGACAATCCATCAGCCATCAAATCAATTCTTGGACGAAGCCCACGCAGCAGAAATGAAGTATAAACGCAGCGTGGATGAAATTGACCGCGTTTCATTATGCTATACTTCAACAATCAGCCTTTCCCGTATCGCTACAAACTACTGGGCGGACCTTGTGCAAGAAGCGAAGTTGGCAGTTACGCACCGGTGTAACGCACCGGTGTAACGTGCCGATATATCGCGCTAAAACAGCTCACTGATGTAACGCACGAAAATGACTCATTGATGTAACGCACCGACGCAACGCACTGATGGAGTAGATGTGACATACAGAGTAACGGTTACGCAGTGTACAGCAAGATACAGGTTGCCGCCCGCAGTCTTCCTTTTGCGCACCCAGCCACCGCCCCTTCAGCCGCCGCTCTCGGCCGCCCGGGCCTTCGTCCCAAGATGATCAACGACGAGGGCGCCACCGTCGATCTGTACATCCCACGAAAATGGTGCGCACCGATTGGATTGATCCCAGCCACCCCACCGCGCTTGGCGGCTCGCCATGAGCGCGGGCGGCACGGCAAGAATTGCTGCCCCTCAAAAGAGATGCGGTCCCTACACAGGGCACCCCGCTCCTGAACAGGTGTGCGCGAGAACCTTTCCGTACTTTAGAAATATGATGCAGCGCCTCCAGCGCCAGAACAGGAGCACACTGGAGAGCGGACTGGAGGGGTTCAGAATGCGAGCGAGAGGGAGAAGCGCGGGGAACATACGGGTAGCACTGAAGAGATGGGGCTGCGGCTCTTGGCGCAGCGTGCTTGTGATGCGCTGGCAGCGGGAGGCGCTGGATCGAGATTCGCCATCGCATTTGGTCGACTTTGCCCCCGGAGACTTTGGCAAGATGCCGTTGGCGCGTGCCGCGTTTTGGCCAAGACCCATGGCGATCTTTTGCCTCGCGATGGGGTTTTTCCGCATTTTGTGTGCGCTGCGGCGAGTAACGAGCGTAGGAATGGGCGGATGAGTGAAAGGGAATAGGACAATGGGTTTGGATGCCTACCTGCCTGTCATCGTGTGCCAGCTGCAATAGCCTCTCCTTGTGAATGCAACCGTGGCACAGGGCAAATGCCCGTTGTGGAAAACAGCAAATTCCACCAATTTCAATAAGCAAGTGGTGCAGGTGTATAGCAGGCTCAGATTGTGCTGCCAGCTCTGTAGCGAGCATTGATTGTGCCTCAGGCAATGGTGACCATTGCCTTGCCCATCTGTGCGACAGCTCGTGGACTAACAAGCTGATCGGCGCCAAGGACCATGGCAGCATCCAGATCAACATTGGGCACCTTGACTCCGACGGAGTGTACACGACCCAGTTCACAACTTTTGCCATCTCTGGGACTGTGCGTGGGCGGGTGAGTTGCCAGGTTGTTGCAAACGATGGATTCACAGAGCATTCAGCCCCCTTCGACTGCGAGGGTGTGCTGGGCAATGTGCCAAAGTAATGACACTTCCAGTTCTGCGAATTTGAATACTCATGCGTCTGTGAGACTGTATCGCACTTAGGGTTGCAATTGCCATTGCCATGCCTCTTGTCGCCAAAAGAGGAAGCGCTCACAGGCTGGAAACAAGATACCACAGGCAATTTCAGATCAAGTTGCTGTCCAACACCCTTGTCGGTGCCCAGAATGGACAACAGTGATCCGCACAGAAAGGGCCAGATCATGTGCCGCTGGACAGTCGCTGTTGTGAGCTGCCTCCACAGTCAGTTATTCAGTACGTTTGCTGGACAATCTACCTTTGCTGTGTGTTTTTCCATTTCGCAGCATCGATCTTTCAAACTTATTTTTTTGAGGCTTGGGTGTTTTTTTTGGGGTTGGCAAAGGTTGTCTCAACTAAGGTGTTGACACTCCAAGTCCTGAATATATGGGAAAATACCTGGGATGGTATGAGCAGGCAGAGTGTGTAATACAGTCTTCAAACATGTACTGCGCGATCTTCTTGCAGACTCGTTTCCGGATTGTGGAGGTGATGCAGATGTGTCCTGGCACTACAGGAATAGCGCCCATCAATATTTTGACGGCTGCCTTTGGCATCGACATCGTTTGTTGTCAAAGAAACAATGCCCACAACCATTAGAAAGGGATGCATGACTCAGTCCCAACTCCGCCCGTCTTGTCCACGTGATGGGCCCCTGAATGCTTTCTGAAGGGATGTGGCAGCACCAGCATATGCATCAGACGTCACACAACGTGATAAATATTTTTAAGTAGTTCTTACGTACTTGTTGAATACTTCATGAGAAGTAATTTTGATATCAGTTCCCTGAGTTTCAGGTCTTTGGTTACCATGATGCAGGGTGAGGCTGACTCGGCCATCGATCTGTTGTGGGCCAAGAAGAAGATGGAGCTCGAGTCGTGAGCGGGGCGGAGCCAAGGAATTGGGGAGTTGTCACTTGCACAAGTTCATGTTTCGGGAGCAGGGCACGCATAGAATGGGCCTGAACATCATCCGCATCGACCAAGGCGTGGAATTCAGCCTGTTGAACTGTGCAAACGAGTGGGCTTGTTTGAGTCGACCTGCCGTCAATGAGTGCAGCTAGATGCGCATTTTTTTCTACCAATTCGGCTGCCCATCGATGACTTGGCAAGTTGAACCGGCCATGAATTGCCGCCGTGGGAGAGATGAAAGAAGCTGCAGCGCTGTGCAGTGTGCCTCCGGCAAGTGTTAATGAGGCGTTTTCCAGCCGAAGACGACGCACTGCGAAAATGTAAGACTGTAGAAGAGGCAATGTGAGGAACAGTGACATGCACAAAAGCGGCCATGTTATCAGCGATCCGCTGTGAAACAGAATGCAATGCGTTAGCGCCAGGGCCCATCCACGTGAACAGGTCATGAATTAAAGGATGCATGTGAGACTCGGTATCACGGTTGGCAAGAAGTTTCTTGCTCCGTCATCAGAAAACAGGACCTGCAGATAACATCAACAGAAACTTGTGATGTATTGGCCGCCAAACCAGGTTCTTGAGATTTGTCTGCGAGCATGAGGCACGAATTGCTGTGCATCAGCCAGTACAGCAGCCAGGACCGTTGCCCGAGTTGCCAGGACTGCTGATAGGCGGAATTGGGAGGGGTGGAGTGCGACTGTTGGTTTCGAACGCAGCATATAAGCATGGTAGCGTCTTGCTGCGCGCCACACCACATGCAGGGTCGGCAACAAACAAGATCATGTCTACATCCCCCGTCAACACGTCTCCAATGCGTCTGTAGCGTGAAACTGAATCCCAACATGGGCTTGTACTGCCCACACCACAAACACAACCTCCCCAGGAACAACCACAACAACCCAATTGATTGTGCGCATGTGTGTACGCCTTCGGCATGCGCTCAGCCCGCCCGTTTTCAATTCTGCAGAATCTTTGCCAATTGCGAAAGCGTCAGCATGTCGGGCCCAGCGTCCGCGAGTTCTCCTGGTTGCCTGGATGTACGAAGCCAGGCCAAACAGCCAAATCTGAAACCAAAGCGCCTGCAACGCTTGGACCATACGAATTCGAAACAGAAGAGGAGACCTTCTGGCGCAGACAGCGGGACACAAGCGCACCAATAGCGGTGATGACATGTTTACATCGTCATGAATTAAATTCAACCGACGTCTGAATGCGTTGGATGGCTCCAGCACGCCGCCCTTCGCCCTCCACAGAAGCATCTAATCTAAGCTTCACTCCCTCTCGCACACAAAAACCCTACTGTATTCCGCTACTGTATGCTTTGCGTATTCGTTTCCTTCCCCGCATGCCCATTCCACACTCCTAATCCTGCTCCTTGGCCTCTGAGGCTTCCCCGCCTGGGTCCCTCTCCTCACCCAGATCGCCATTCCGGACAGAGCCCTTCGCCTCTGATGCCTCCTCGCTTGGTTTCTCCTCTGCCCCATCTCCCGGCTTCTCCTGCTGATGCTCACCCCTGCCAACCAACCTCTCATCTCCAGCCTCCCCTGCCACCGCGCAGTCTTCTCCCCCAACTTCCGCCTTCATGCAGTCAATCGAATTACTGAATGTCAAGAGAATCAACCACATGGTCCCACATATGAAGGCAATCACAGCAAAACAGAACAGGTCATACTCTGTAGGGCAAATTGAGACAAGGGTGTAGCCATGAGCTCTCTGGCCATCCCATCCACCCCACATGAAAGACAGCTTTGCCAACCACCAGTCAACAAAAACCCCAGTTCGCACAAACGGCCCCCAAGATTCACCCCCAAGTGCTTGCAGCCAGTTCCTAACTTATTCAACCATGCACTAATGGGGATAATGTGGCCTCTGAAAAGGCAAGGCAGGACACTAGTGCACAGGAATATGGGGCTGCGAATACAAAACGTCCGTGTGTGCCTTCGCCTCGACACCCACACCCTCAATAGGTTAGATGGACACTGCTGGCCCCACAGAGGATGATGCCTTTCAAATCTGTGGACATTTCGAGGGGCAGAGGTGCATATCTCTAATATCGACACTCCACACAATATGTGTGTCCATTCTGCTCAAAAGTCATCTTGACTCGATGCAATCTGACCACCAATGACCACGATAAAGCAACAATCAAAAGAAAAAGACCACCTACACATTCCTTGTCAAGGTGGACAACATGGGCCCTAATCAGAGAATGGGCATGTTGATTCCTAGGTATCACAAAAGGTAGGTTGGGCTTCAATTTGTTGTTTTCCTGTCTTTTGGTTTGTGCATATACATGGAGAAATACAGCCCCATGAAAGGGCCACAACAATTTCTGATGTGGATCTCCACAATCTCTTATCAATCAAAACCAGCAAAAGTGCAACGCATTAAGTCGACCGACAAGGAGGACCAACGATAGAGAAAACCACATAAAATTAAGAATAACACAAAGAAAAGAATGAAAACAAAAAGAAAAGAAGGAAAACACAAAGAAAAGAAGAATGACACGAAGAAATGTGATGTACGTCTTTGGAATCAAAAAGGGAAACACAAAAAAAAATAAAACCACAATGAAAGAATAAGGAAACAAAGAAAAGAGGGCAAAAAGACAGCACCCACACATTCCTCCCCTCCCCAAGAATATATGAGTCCCTCTGTCTTTTCTGCGAGGATCGCTTCTTCCGCTGACAAGGCCAACGCCGGTCAGTGGGTCAGCCATTTGAGACGTTTGGGCCCGAAACAAGAAGGGATCATCACGGAAAAGACAGAGCGACAATTGGGTGCCTCCCTCCCCTCCCCACGCCTACCTCCGCGTTGGCCTTGGCCTCCGCCGCCCGCCGCCTCTCCTCAGCCCTCTTCACCGCCGCGCGCACGGCCGCCAGCGAGTCCGCCGGCACCCGCACGTCGCATCCCGGCCCCTCCACGTACCCAAGCAGCCCGCCCGCGAACTCCCCGGGCAGCTCCTCCACCGCTGCCTTCAACAATTCAGTGGGCAGCGCCAGCAGGTGGCGGTGGGACATGGGCGCCGTGCGGCGCAGCAGCATCAGGTAGCCGCGCCACTGGTTCCTGTCCGGCCGGATCTTCTCCTTGACGACCGATCCGCTGAGCAGCGTGTCCAGCACGAATCGCCTCAGGCCCCGCTCCCGCCCAACCGACAGGATGACCATCCGCATGAACAGCAGCGGCAAGGTCTGCTCCTCCACCAGCTTGTTCAGCGCCGCGGCCAGCGCCTTCTGGTCGAAGATCTGCGCCATGCCGCGCAGGCAGTGGTCCAGCGCCGCCCGTAGCTGCAACACGGTGAATCAACGAATGAACATCCTCACAGACAACGTGAAATATTCGACACTTTGGTCACGTCGCGTGCCTCTGCTGAACTCAGATGTGAAACGGCGTCCTCTTGCTGGCGATCTACACTGACCTGCAGCACGGTGACGCCCACTTCTGATAACCGGGCGCGGTTGAGGGCGACGAGCACCTCGTTGGGCTCCACGGCCTCATCGGCACCCCGGCGGCGGATGAGCATCAGGACGCCCTGCGAGAAGGCGGCCTCAGGGAGGGCCGCCAGGCGGGGCACCCAGGCCAGGGCGTCGCGCTTGGCCATGCCCAGCAAGGCGGGCATCAGGAACCTGCGGGGAAGGATGTTCGCCGGTCACTTTGCTACTCACGCGGATGCTTCGAGATGACGTCACGGCCTTGATCAATTCAGCGCATCAATGTAGTGTACCAATGCAGCGTATCAATGCAGCAGGGAAGGAGGCTTGGTTGCTTGTTCCTTTAAGGAATGTAATACACAATGTGGAGCACCAATGCAGTGTATCAATGTACTATATCAATGTACTGTATCATGTTGTGCACCAATGTAGTGCATCAATTTAGTGTATCAAAGGAGCAGGGAAGGTGTTTGTTTGTTTGTTTGTTTGTTCCTCACACGGATGCATCGGCACGACGTCATGGCACTGATAGATGCAGCGTACGAAGGAGGGGGGAAGGAGGTGGGTTGGCATCTGGGGTGGGGGCAGCTGCCGGAAAAGGGGTGGGAAGGGCTGGAACTGGCAGGCGGCGGGAGGTGGATGGACGGACACGGGTGGGTGGGGACAGGACGACAGGCGGACAGACTGGGATTTACTGCGGCAGGCATGAAACTCCTATTTCTCAGCCACTTTTTCAAGGCCCTTTGCCAGCCCAACAACAAATCAGTGCTTATCAATGCAAGGAAACGTACTGCAAACACCTACTAGACTGCAGCAAAACAATGTCCACAATTTGCTCACAGCCAACCTGAGGCACTGCAGCAACAGATCCCACAAACTGCAAACTTCCCATCTCGGCTAATTTGCCACCTCAGGCAAAGGCCATGGCTCACAAGGGCACAGCCTCACACCTGGTGTCCTTCGTCTTTTCATACTGCTTCAGGCACGCATTGACGACAGGCGGCGGCGGCACTCGGTCCTGCACGACTGTCAGCATCATCAGCAGCAGGTGCTCCGACCCGGGGGGCGGGTCGTCGATGAGGGCCAGCAACTTGGGGCTGTGGATGCCGATGGCCTCCGCCAGCTGCTTGGTGTAGCTGTGTATGGCAGCTTGGGCACCTCTGGAGGCATTGGCGTAGACCATCAGCAGGCCTCTGAGCACACACGCCCAACACACTACTCAGCTACTAATTTCTGCCAATTCTTTGCCTCAAGCCACTCGGCTTAAAGCTCCATAAAGAACTAACCGTTCTGAGAATTGTGTTTCTCGGGAGGCACGTTTGGGCGCCATGCTCGCTGCACGGCATACGCTCACGACAGAGCAACGCTGTTCAGTCGGCACAGGCGCATTGAAGGGAATCTGCAATCGATAGTATAATCGATATTATAACAACTACATACTATATGTTAGAACACAAACGACACTTCCGCCAATCAGCACACAGCTTGCAGCAACAACTCAGCCCATGCCTGCTTGAATGCACTCACTGCAGCACAACAAAAACAATAAGTTTCTCCCAGATAACAAAGGAAGCAGACAGCCGCCTCACATGCAATACTTCTAGATTCTTCGATTGGCTCAGCCTCCTTGCACTGCTTGCACACAATTATTTTGCGTGGAAAAGAGGGCCATTTCACACTTCTTGCCCAGGAAAAGGGCTGCACATCCCTCCCGGCAGAAAGAACACCTTGGGTTGCTTTCTACAGTTCCTAGGTTGAACGCATGTTCTTAGGTTCGACTCCGTCCAAGGCAGCATGCATACACCAAAATGCCCGCGTTCCTACAAACCCCTGCCAACCCACCTGAGCATGCTCCCCTTCATCGTGCACAGCACCATGTACAGATTGCAGTATCGCATCCACGGCGACGCCTCCGCTGGTGCCTCCTCCATCGCCTCGCCAGCCCCGCTTACCTCGCCACCGCCTTCGTTCTCCTCTGCCCCCTCCCCTGTCCCACCCTCCCTGCCTTCCACTGCCTCACTCTGCGGTTCATGGTCCTCGAGCCTCTGCAGCGCCTGGGTCGCAAAGACCTCCACCTGCGCAGAGAAGTCCCTGAACAGACGGTTCTTGATCAAGCGGATGGCCTTTTCGCGCGTGTCGTCCCGGTCGCTCGTGGCCGCCTCAAGGATCAGCTCCAACATGGCACTCTGCAGCAGTCGAGGACTGAATGTCACCAGAATGAATGCATTGATTACAGAAACGTGTAAACAACCGATTGGTCATCGCACGTGGGTCTATCGAACTCCAATCATCACACAGCAACAGTTTTTTCCACCAGTCTAAAGATCATTGTCAGAGGGCAAACATGACAGAGGATGTTCCTCCCGAGCGAATCGAGGGACTCTGTTCCATGCTGTGCAAGATGGTGCGGAACTTTCAAGGGAAGCGAGACTGCTCACAACACCTTGCACCATGCAAAGAACACTGCCGTTGTGCATACATTGCAACGTTTCTAAAGGCTGCAACAGGTTTGCTATATCGGCATTCCCTCCCAACCAGACTGCGTTGTGTCCCTTCTGCTCTACACAACGAAATGAGCCACTGAGAGCCAGAGGCCAAAGCTGAAATAAGGACCGTGCACGAATGCAGCAAACAAGCAGTCAACAAGTGTCTGTAAGGAGCCATAATAAGTGGGTTTGTGCATTCATCCTTCCGTTGTGCCAGATCTGTCAATGTACCAAACCGCTGCCCTTGGCACATCCAAGGCAATGGCCGGCACAAAATCCTTGCGCATAGTGTTCTGGACGTGGCCTCAACACATGGCAACCCAAGTTGACACCTTGTGCGGACACTGCCAAGTTTCACACCCTCTCCCACACACCTGCAAGGGAGGCCTCTCTTTCATGAGCTCCAGAGCAACACTGAGGGATGTGGTCGACCAGGCAGGGCCGCGGGCAGTGAGGGCGGCAAGGAAGGCCTTGAGGGGGGTGGGCGGCAGGGCAGGGGCGTCCAGCAGCAGCTGCTTGAAGGTCTTGTCCCGGGGGTCCTGGAGCTTGTCACTGATTCAGGCAGCACGAAGACAGTCAGGCGTGCTTCCTATTTCAATGTGTTTATCATTGACTTAACTTCCTTCAAAGGAGTTCCTATGTTAGCGATCAAATGGCATTGCCCCCGGTGTTCTTATGAATGTGCCTGCGTTTCTCATTAATACTGCTAACAAACAGACATCATTTGTGAATCATTTCTGATCATCTCCCTCAAGAGAACCCACCACAACGTGAGAAAACACAATGGGTTTTGATGCTCTGAGTTTTCGTGCAGAAAACAAGCAGGACCACCAAAATGCCACATCAGTGCAAACATATTTCGCTGCTCTGATACAGATCCGCTGGAGTACATTGGCACTGCATTATCTGGCATCACTTCCACTGCATTGTTGCCACTAGCACTTGCACTGCAACGCAATGACCAAAGACAACTGTTGTGAACAGTGCAGTACCCCTGAAGAAATGTGCGAATCCAAGTACCTCCCTTTGGCAACAACAGTACAACACCACTGCTGCTAGCCCATTGCCACCGTGCTACAGACACTATGAATTTATACCTGCCACGTATGCAACTGCATCAGCACTCCAGTGCAACGCTTACACATCACACCACCCAGAATATCGTACTGCACACCAAACTGCCAATGCCCACCTGATTCTCTCCAGCAGAAGGCTGAGTGCGTACTCATAGTGTCCGATGCCACTGCTGCTCACTAGACAATCGGCTGCCTCACCCTGGTCACTCTTTTCCTTGGCACCTGCATCGTCACTCTTGGCAGCATCAACATCCATGTCACCAGCAGCCTCTGGGGCTGTGGCCTTGGGCGGGCTGACTGAGTTGGGTGGAGTTACAGTTGGCGGACCATGAGCCACAAACACGCTGTAGAGCCACTTCACCGCCAGCTCTCGGCCGCTCCTGCATGCATGAGAGTCGAAGTGATTTCGCCACCACAAGCAGCATCAATTCTGACAAGACTGTCACAAGCAAGGGCATAAAGGCAAATGTACATAAGAGAATCAACCAAGGAAACAAGGCTTGGGAGCAGTAGAGTAGGATAGCAGGTACAGTCCGCAAAGAAACTGGTATGAGCTCAGCAAACACTTGAAGTTCACAACATCTGAAAACAACACAAACAAGGTCATCTACATTTCCAAACAAATCCCAAACTGAGCTAGTCTCTCCAAACAGATAACAACTGTAAGGTCACCCACATTTCAGGGAACATGTCCACGATGTGATCGAGTATGGCGTCCATAGGGCTTCCGTCCTTGGGCGTCCCAGCCAACTTGGCCATCACACCCTGGGAGAAGCTGGCATGTCGGCTGTTGCTGGTGTTGGCCCTGATCAGTGGAGACACGCTCAGCTGCATGAGGGACTGCCGCTGGTCGGGCGTAAGCGTCCGTGGGCGCAAGGCCAATCTAGTCAGAGGGGGGTAGCAAATAAATCAACGTCATAAATATGCATACAGATATACATAACAATCACCAACAATTCAATCGACATATATTGAATTAGTCAGGCATACCAAGACAACACTTGAGCAGTTATTAACACGTACCATTCACATTGACGTCCCTTGATCATCCAGAGGTCAATATGAGAAGTCTGAATCTATTCTTCCCTACCTTGAATGCACTCAACGATGGATAGCACACCCATTCCAGGACCACTACCTGGGACTATGACAACAACCCTTTTCCATGATAGGCTGCTTGTATTGGAGCATCATGTTGGATGACTACAAAGACTATAACAAGTTTGCCGTAGACAACAACGGGACGGCTGTCAGGCTACATTAGTGGGTGGGACAATTCCCACGCTGATTGATGCGTCCAGGGGCCCCGTGACTTTGGGAGGAATCGACCAACGTAGTGCCGAGATCCCTGGACCCTCTACCCTCTCATGACATAGATGAGTAGTAGGGCATCCGAGGACTTTAGGGCGAATATGAGGATTGCGCAAATCCTTGCGGGGATAACCAGGCAGCAGCTGGATCACTTGTCAATTAGGTTTTAGAACTGCCCTGGTGTGATGGTGATACTAAAGGTTGACTAGAGAAGGGACGAAAGATTTGGTCAAGATTTGGTCAAGGTTTGGTCAGATTTGGTCATTAATGGGCAGACTGACGTGCTTATGACAACAATGTGCTGAGTTGCAGCAGTAAATCTCACATGTGGTGTTTGGAGTGCATATCTTGGCTCGTTGCCCATCAAATTTCCCTGCATCTGTGAGGCAAGAGCGCCCCTAGCCTTCTATGTGGAGGCTCATTTGTGGACACTATGCTGGAGTGCGAGCGGCTGAAAATCTAAACAGGATGGCCATCAGGGTATTACGTTTCCCCTGCCCTGCGGCTGAGGGCTTACGCCACATGACCGCCATATGACACGTTGACCCCCAAATGGACGCTACTTTACTCATTTTATGTCACAAACAAAATGGTGAAACAATCCTGATGACCATCACACTGACATTCCATGTGCTCTGCACGCAGAGCACACCTAGCCTATCTAACACACATACCATCACACCATCACCTACCTAACACAAACCCTAGCCAGGCATTGCGTTTGCAGCTCATCTGTATATCGTATAGAACGATCCGCAGCCCAGACAAGAGCAGCCTATATGTATAAGGAAAACCCATAAACTGCGACACATGGCATTTGACGGAGACTGCACATACTTTATGCACATACTTTCTCTCCCCTTTGTGCACCCCTTCATTGGTTCAACAGGGGTTTTGCAGCCCTGTATTGTTGCTGATCAAGCTTTGGATTCCATGGACAGACATAGTACAGGCTAACAGCAACTCTGCACTGCCCAAAGCACCCGTGCTGGTCAAGTTGGGTTGTATACAATTGAAGTAAATGGCTTTCAACAACTCTATCCCACCATTCTGTCTGTTCTATACATTCCACGACGTGGAACAACAGAACTGCTGTAGTCTTGTTCAACCACCCTTTGCTCCTGAATTTGGCATAAGTGGAGGGCAGCAACAGCTATTGTGAGCTTGGGGACTTGACTAATTGATGTTGATGACAGTGCCAACTGCATTAGTGGCATGTGAAAACTTGGTAAAGAAAATCGAAGTAGAAAGTCCAAGCCAGCGCCTTCTCACACTTTGCCAAAGTCAGTCAGGGGTCCAGCACACCTGGGAGCTCCGTCATCTGGCAGCCTGGTGGTGGTATCCACCTCCACCTGTTCGTCACCGCTTTCCCCCGCTTCCTCCGTGTCTGACATACCCTCACCCTGCCCAAGGTCCTCCTCTTGCTTCTTCACATCCATGGGATACCCTCCCGCTAGGCCGGCACCCAGCCCAAGGCCCAACACACCTGCCTTTACTTTCTCATCCTTGGACTCTTCCACTTCCAATTTCTCTCCCTCCAACCCCCTTGCATCCATCCTATCGCCGACGTTGGCTCCATCCACATCCATGGCATCTAAAGAGCCAAACTTGGCAGTCTCCCCATGCACTGCAGCCTTCACATCACCGTTGCCAGTTCTGCCATCCGACTGCCCATTGATGGGAGCTCCCTGCGAAGTGGATGTGTCCATGGCTGCCCTGTTTTCTGCACGGATCCCAGCCTTTGTTTCCTGCCTTGATTCACCGCCATCCGCCTCGGTCCCTTCACCGCGAGGTGCATCGGCATTGCTGGTTTGTGCAGCGCTGGCTTGCAAATCATCCACAGATTGAGCAAGAAGCACTGACGCCCCTGGCATATCTCCCCCCAGCAACTTCGCTGTGGAATGAAGTTTGGGATCGACAGCGGTGCTGTCCCCTTCAGTGGGTGCCAGCATAGCATTAGATTGGTGCAAGGACTTAGGCAACGAATCTTCTGGCAGATGAATGCCATCAGGAGTTGCTTGGCCACGTTCAGGCAGGCAAACGCCTTTGGGCTCCTTGGCGGCATTTGCAGGGTCTTGATGCCACGAGGTTGTCACAGTGGGCTGGGTAAAAGGAGTATTAACTGCTTGCGGCTGTTGAGAGTCACACCATTGTCAAAACTGGCAGCAAAACAACAGAGGAAGAGCAGCTCTTCAAGAGCATGAGCATGTGTGACATTAGAGATGGGTTATTTTGCTACGGAAGACCTGTGCATCATCTTGGACAACATATGAAAGGATCTGACCACAATCCTTGATAGGCAGGGGGGTGACTATTCTGTATTTCCTTCTGCTTATAACAAGTAGAAACAGAGAACTGAATCAAAACAAACAGGAATGATACACAAAAACATGTGCAGAGCCTCACCTGGGCCACAGATGTTGGTGGTTCCTCATCACGATGCGGCGGAGGTGGAAAAGGAGGGGGTGGGGGAGGAACCATGGAGGCTTCCTGGGCTGGAGGCCCATCAGCTGCAGGTTTGTCTGCAGATGCCCCTGGCTGGGAGGGAGTCAGAGGTGCAGCGGAAGCAGTGCTGGGCCCTGTGGTGGGTCTCTCCTGCTCAACATGACAAGTTGCAATGAGAAGGGTCCATGCTTTGGCTAATGGCTGTTGGCCGGAAGTGACAATGGTCGATTGTGGATTTCCAACAGCAGACAGACAACATGCAAAGGTCAGAAAATTCAACGATGCACAGATAAGTATCAGAAGTGGATAAATGTCAATGCCAAAGGCCAATGGCCAGCGCATCAACTTTCCAATTCTTGGCACTACATTGGCACAGGCCACAGCAAAACCGTTGCACCAATTTGGCCAACATAGTGTTTACTACAACCAACAGCATGGCATGCTCCTTCAAAATAGTTCCTCAGCACTCCAAAGAACGAAAAATAAATGCAAAATACGCAAGTTTCCGCCAAAGCCTCCAATCTATACCAAGTCTCTATCCTGCAAGCCAATGCAGACAGTGGATTTCCGCCAGGGAATTCCCTGAAACAAGGCCAACTTCCATAATTCCTACATTTACAACAGCCAATCATACGAACACCAACGCTCGTGTAAATTCAAAGTCAGCGATACAAAAGCTAGATTCTGGGATTGCACCATACCGGGAGGTACTGCAGGTTGGCCACAACGACATCCGCCAGTATCCGGACGTCCAGATTCTTCACAAACGCCTGCAGCAGCGCCCTCTGCTTCGTACCAACCAGCAGACCCAGAATGGCTCGAACCTGCGTCACATCCAGCCTCCCTCTTCCCCCCCCCTCAGCTTCCCCCTTGCCATCAACTGCAGACAGGGCCCCCACGCCCATGGGATCTCCAGTTGGCATCCCCTGCCCCCCCCTCGGCTCTATGTTCTCCTGATAGGCACCGCGGGTGGCCCCCTGCGTGTTGGCTTGCTGCGAACTCGAGTGGCTCCAAAAGGAGGAGTTTGGGGGAGGTGCGCTGGGGCGTTGGCCTGAAGACGGCTTCAAATTGGCGGCCGAGCCGGGCCGGGGGTCCCACAGGTCTTCGGCCCCAGCATGGCCATTCCTTGCGAGCGTGTTTGTCCCCGGCTGCCCGTCCACACTCTCGGGTGTGTCACCTGTCATGTCTTCCCTCTTTTGCCGCTTGGGGTCTATGTCATCGTCACTCTGTCTCCGGACAGCCTTCCTTGTCCTGCCACAAGCATGGCCGTGTTTCCAACAATGAGTTAAAACGCTAATTATTTGCCTTTTCCACGCTCGCATGGTCATGGTCCATTCATTTTTCAATCGACAACCCTCATGGAAGACTAAAACCTCTCCATACATTCACTGTAGCAAACATTGCTAGCTGGCACATCTGGCAAGGAAACAGGCGATAGGAAAAGTGTGCAGCACAGAGCAACGATTAGAAAGCACATTCAGAAGGGGGGTGGGGGGGGTTGTCAAAATGTGTTTGTCAAAAATCAAGGTCCAGTGCCATCATGGTCCCAGTTTGAACCTGCCCTCGTGCCTGTTGGTCGATGGCCAGCTGCATAAGAACAGTGGTGGATGCAGGGTGCCTGCAATGTCCTTGAGATTGCATGAGCAATTCCTTAAACATTGACAAATTCGATTATTTTCAGAGTTGCGCTGTGGCTTGTCAGGGTGTTGCTCACCACACATGTCAGGGGCTGTGGAAGACATCAAAGTGAAAAGAAATGGAATAGAATAAATTCCACAACAAAAGGATTTTGTTAACACAGCACTGATAAGACATCACTCATAACTGAGGAATGGGGCTGGCTGTCGCATTCCAAGATGATGCAAAATCACTCAGGAACCGATGTGCTTATAAGTGGTTCATTTTGCACCAAATAGAGACCAAAAAAAAAACACCACCCACCTCTGTTCTTTGGCAGCCTGCCTGTCCATGGCCTTCACGAGCTGGTCTGCCACACCGGCAGCGCCGATCGCTTCCAGCCCCTCCACCAGCTTGTTGCGCCACTGCGTGGCGTCCCGGCTCCTCAGAGCTGCCACCAGGGCCTCTTTCAGAGCTGTGGCGATGCTGACCTCCACACCGCTTGTCTGTTCCTGCAGGTGGCCATCCAGAACAAGGAACTGTGTGTTCATGCTGAGCATTGAACTGTGCAGTATGCACAGCATCCAGAACTACCATCCAGTAAAGCAATCGCCACTGCAAACCATCAGACTTTTCATGATGCAGACAAGGGACGTGGATAGCAATTGGGTCATGCTGAAGTCAGTTTCAGACTGTGTGTCAGGGCAACACGTCTGAGAACTTTGACAACACATGATGACTGCTGGCCTTGCACGTTATGTGCTGACAAAGTGGACAAACGAAACAAACCTGTGTGCTGCCAGCGACTCTGAACTTTCCCGACTTCGCCAGGCCCAGCAGAGGAGGCAGGATTCGTCCCAGGAAGACGGACCGCAGGCGCGCCACTGACCCTAAGGCCTTGAAGGTGACGATGTTGGCGGGACCTTTCGGTGACCCTGCCTGCTGGGCGTCTGCCAGGCGCAGCAGCTTGCGTAGGCTGTCCTCACCGTCTTGAAACAGGACGGTCGGTTGCAGGATGGGGTGGTTTGTGGGGATCGCCACAGAGGGCAGACCTGCGCAGAACAGGGGTGTTTGAATGCAAGTAAAGACAAACTTGTGCAAGGGTTGCGGGAAGCAAGTACACAAATGTACAGCAAGACTTGTGCAGAAGCAAGTACACATTGAAATATATGCAATGAAGTCCCCATACATATACATTGAAGCATAAACTGAGGTGCTATATATGCACTGAAGTACCTGTAAAGAGTGGAAGCACAGGCACTGGAGTACATGAAGAGTTGTATAGCATGCTCAAGTACAGCAGAAAGGACAATCAAGAGCGGTGGCCAGATAGATGCTCACCAGGGACCTCTGGTGTCTCCTGAGCCGTGAACGCAATAACGATCGTCTCCATGAGTTTCGCCCCATAAAGCTGCACGGCGCCGCTGCCACTGCCCAGGGCGACATCGCAGCCATCGCTGGCAAACAACCACACTCGCTGCCACGCTTGCCTCCAGGCGTCAGTGTGTTGGGTATCAGCACCCTTAATGCACAAACAGGCGATTTACAATCCATACAGGAGTGCCAGGAGATAGAAGTTCAATTGAGATATGCCCTCCTCGTTGTCCAATCCAGTTCTTAATATTTGGACCCCTCCATGGTGTATGATGTTCCCATCGCACTCTAAGACTTCAATCTAGAGGATGATTGAATGTATCCTTGATGAAAGAGCCAGCTAAATGCAAGGTTGCTTCTTCTTGCACATTGTCTCAGCTGGGTAAGTTGTGTGCTGCATAATGTCCAAGCTAGCATGCCTGTGTCAAATCTAACAGCACTCGGAGATTGTCTGGGCCCAACTGATCACCAACAAGTGGGCAGTGTTTGGAAAAGAGCCACACTGTAGATATCTGCCCAAGAAATTGGAGTCCGTTTGACAAACCAGGATAGCAACTCTCCCTACATTTTCACTTTACTTTCAGTGGAAGCATGGTGAACACTGCTCAATCTCCAGTGGAGAATCACTTGCCCCTGTGTGGGTCCACACAATTTGGGCAGTTATTACATAATGCCTTTTTCACATTGTGTTGCTGTCTTCGCTGCCTGAGTGTCCAACTTGTGACTGGTAGATGTGTAGCAACCATCTCAACTTGGTTAAGCAGAGTACTGGCAGACACATGCCATTGACAATCCAAACCCTCAAACCACATTCAAAGCTTGCAAGGATGTTCGACAGCAGCTGGAACAGCAAACCTGTATGATACTCTGCTGTCCCCATCATCAAGCACAAGGCCCAAAGTTTTCATTCATTGATCACAAGTTTGACAAATGTCATCATCGAGATCTCCAACCACACTCAAAGCTTGCAAGGATACATGACTGCAGCTGGAACAGCAAACCTGTGTGCTACTCTCCTGTGCTTACCATCAACCACACATCACAATGGCTTCGTCTATTCATTATAGTTTTGACAAATGTCATCATCGCAATTCGAAAAGATTCGATTCAGAGCACCGCACATATCACTGCATGCGCCTGACACATGCCTTGTTGTGCCACCAATAAGCCACAGAAGCCTCACAAAAACTGGCCACCAAGCAAAAAGCTACCAAACATTCCATCAGCAATGCTGTGCACAAGAAATGTCCCTTCTTGTCGAGGTGCCCACCTTGACTGCTGCGCAGGCCATTGCGATTCTCACAAGCCTGCAGCCAGCCTGCAAAACACTCCTCACCACCGATTGCTCATCCTGGAGCCATCTGTGCAAATGATCAGCAACACGCTGCACAGCAGGGGCGCTCAGCTGCGGAGCAACCACCATGTCCAGCAAACCCACAACCTCCTCACGGACCCTTGCGCCATTGCGGGAGTACTGAGACACAACCAAGGACATCATCCCTGCCCTCAATCCTTGCTCAAGAACCCACAGCGGCAAAGATGTATTGCTACTCCAACGGAAGAATTTGTGTTTTGGTGTGGAAACAATGGTGAAATTTGGGAATTCTGGGAAGTTTGGGGCAAAACTCAGGAATACTTTGGACTATTGCTCAAAAACTTGGCATTCCTCAGTATCAATTTGGGGCAACGCTTTGGTACGATCCCTGTGAGTGGTTCTTGTGAATGGCAAGCAGGACAGCCCCTGTGAGTTCTTGCCATTTGGGCTACACACAATCACACGCATCCCAACAGAAGGAAACATCCCATGCACATATGTACCGTTATGCCCTGTGCAATGGGCACCCCAGATACTGGGCGTTTCCTACTTTGAGTGGTTACAATGCAGCTGTCGCCTAGTTCACCGCATTATCGTTCACACCATGCACATCATTACAACCATAGCAGATATGCACACTTGCCATAGTGACAGCCTTGCAGGCTTGTCGGGAAATCAGCATGTTTGAGGGCCCACAGTGTGTTTCAGGGAGCACTATGGGCAACATCTCCATTCACATCTTGCCCTTTGCAACAAGGCGGACAGAGTTGGCCCAATCCGTGTTGTGAGCTGCCAAGGTTGCACATTATGCTGCAAATTCTCTTATTCTCCCTATGTTGCACAGGATGCAGACAGAATGCAATTCATTGCTGAATGTTCAAAGTATCTGCTGCACAGCTGCTACAATGTGGAGCTCGGCACAAGCAAGCATGGCGTTTTATCTTTCCAAAATATAACATCTACTTGGAGAAAACAGGGTACCGGCCCAACCTAGCAGAAGAGATGCATGCCATGCACAACTGCACAAGTGGATTTTGTCCTTGTTGTGGTCCTTTCTTATCCCATGGACTGAATCTGAACAAGGAGTGCCCCACTCATTCCCTTAACCTGGACAGACATCTGTGAGACTGCTGGATCACCTTGTACAGTGTTGAGAGGCCTGCTACTTTGTCAAGGAGTGGCATGGCACTGCACTATCCGTTTCACCCTTTCTTTCGCTTCCCAAAGCTTGCTCAGCCACTCTCTGAGTTTCCCCACTCAAATCAAACCATTCCAGGTTATCCACATTATCGGAGATTACCATCAGGGGACACGGATGGAATGCCGCTTACACTCAGTCCCCCATGCATTCCAAACAACCGCAAGAATGCCAAACAGATGTTCAAAAGCATATCTAAAATGCCTGCCGACACCTTTGATGTGCACGCGCAGTCTTTGGCGCTGTGAACACAAATGCAATCCAAGGCAATCAAAATAGATACTCACATCCAAAGCCAGGACATCCTGCAGAATGCCCTCTGCCGCTCCAGGTTGCCTGTGACAGAGCTCTATAAGTTTTGTCAGGCATGTGACCTGCGATGTACACAACAAGAGTGGTTTCCTTTTGACACCAATTTTATAATCGAAAGCTTGTCCTTGGCGGATATTCAGAACCACAGATTTCCCACATTCAAGTACTTCAGGTCATCCGATCAAGAAGTTGCAAACAAATGCATTGTTGTGGTCTTCACTTGCTTCTTATTTGTCGAACTTCTGTTTATCCCCCTGTCTCCTCATCTGCTTCTTGAAGTATTTGCCCAATGATCTTGACAAAGAAATCCCTTTGGATGCCTAACGCATAACTGGCAAACCCGGCTGTATTGGGCTCACTTATGCAGTGTCATCGAAACTTACCATTCAACAGCGGAAAGGTAGGATTTCAATACATCAAGACATGTTCCACATCAAGGCAAGGATATAGCCACCAAGTCCCAATTTCGCCAAAGGAAGGCTGTGCCCATGAAATGGTCATTGAGACCCAGTTTTGTGTTCCTATAGTCACCCAGGATCTACTGCAGTGCCAAAATGAGCATTCGCAAAAGAACGTTGTAGAGCAGAACTGTGAACAATGTCTGCCAAGGAGGACCAACGGCTACCAACATATCGCACCCCTCAGACGCTTTGGCTGGGAATCCAGATCGTTTCTAGCCGATCACTGGCCCTTTCTTTCGTGTTGGTGTCAACTGCTCGTCATTCAGGCCACATACAGCAGCCATGTACAGCTCAGAAACTAGTGGTAATGCCGGTGACAAGCCGACCATCTCCTGGTAAATGCTCAGGTTCACTCCTTGTGAATGACTCGAAGACAGCAAAAGATTTGAGCGCCCAGAGAAAGGGTGCACTCGCAGGAAGCATTAAAAATCTCCACCATCCGACTCCAAAGCGTGCGGGTTAAGTCGCCACACAGTTCAAGCACCAGAAAACAGTGCTCCACTCGTCCGGAGGCACCACGCTGGATCACAAACAGCACCCAGCAGCCCCCACCGGGCGAAAGGGTAGCGCTTCACCGCGCTTCGACAGTGCACCCAACGCGGGTTCATGCGGCGCCGGATCCTGGCGCCAGTCTCCGCGAACTTGGCGCCCACATTCGCACCACTGGCATGCTTCCCAATCGATATTGCACGCCGCGCGTTTGCAAGGCGGCTGCCGGATGCGCTGCGCTGGATCGCACTCGGATCTCTCGGCTCCCCCCCTCGGACTCTTCCGGCCTCCGCAGACGCCAGGCACCCGTAACCCTTCACCGCGCAATACCGTCGCCCACGGACTCCTGCGCCGCAGCTTCCCGCCGCCATTCCCGGCAGCCTTTGCGTTGAAGGACTCTTTCCCAGGACGACCGGCCAGGGCCCTAAAAGGCTTTCAAGGACCGCTGCCTGTTCCATCGGGCACCTCGGCCCATTGATTCACTCCAATCTTTCTCAGGCTATTTCCCTTCGCCCCATGAAATCGCCAAGCGCCCGTAAAAACAAAAGCCTGAAATTGCAAGACGGCCCCTCACCCGCTGCTCGTCGTCCCCCAGCTGCCTGAGCTCCGCCAGGATGGGCGCGGCGACGCCTCCCGCCGCTGCGGCCGCCGCATCATCGTCCATGGGCGCCGGGGCCGCCGGGCATGCGGTCCGGCGGCCGCGACGGGGGGGCGCGGCGCGGCGCCTGGCGGGCGCAGGCGATCGGCTGTGCGGGGCGGGTGGGAGGCGTGCGGCCACAGCGGGGTGGGGGTGGGGTGGGGGTATAGTTGTTGTGAAGGTGGGCAGGGATGCGAAGCATTTTGTGAGCCACAAAATCAATTGATTTGGGGGGAATTCTGCCCCCTCCCCCGTTGATGAAAATCGATTTCGCCCATTCTCCTCTTCTTCCTCAATCTAGGAAGGACAAAGGATATCCACTATCCATACCTTCGATTCCCTTGTCCTTTGTCCTTTGATTCCTTCACATTTCCTGGATGGCATGCAGCCACTTGGTGCGACGTTTTTTTTGTTCAAGCAGTGGCCCTTTTAGTACTTGTTGCGCCCCAAGAAACAGAAATGAAAGAATAAAAACAAGTTTCTTCGGCGGAAGCACTGCAGTGTCAATGCGTCGATTGGAAATAATGGCTGCCTGCTCGCTTCCTGTACAACAATACCAGGTCCGTTTGCAATGACAGCCGTTTCATGGAGTGGGCAATTTCACTGGCAGACAAACAGCACATTGTGATGCCGACTGCGACGCCACCATGGCATAACTGTAGCTTTTATCTCATCCACTACTGTCACATGGCATCGCGGTTGGCGTCGCAATGACGTCATTTTCTGTTGGTACTTGTGGCCAAGGCGCGAAATATGCCTCTTCAATGGTGGCGCTGCTCATTGCGCACGGGACCCCCCCCGGTGTGCCAATATTGCATGAAAGAAAATGAAAAGCACACTGCTGACAATGGATCGAGCTGGGCATAGTTTGGGACAGTATGAACGTAAGGTGGAAGAATAGTGGACGAGGAATGGAGAACGAGGTTGTTCAATATCCTCACAGTTTTGGATCCCAATTATTAGCCCTCACCCCGACCCCCACCCAAAACCCCTCTCCCCAACCCCGAGTTGTTGATGCTGAAACGTGTTTGTGAGGAGCCTGTGTATGCTAGAACCTGGATGCGGTGGCTGGTAAGCTCTTACCAAAAACCCACCGATGCTGGCAAACAACGACATCGGAACTGAAAAATAGTATTTCTATGTAGGTTTCAGTGATATGCGTGACTAATTTTGGGACTTCTGCAAAATTATCACATCACATTTGAGGGGTGGTTACCAGCACTCTTAATTGTGATGTGTGGTTTGGGAATCACAGAACCTCTGCCGAGTGCATACAATATTCGGCCCCATGGAACCGCAAGGCCATCAATTGTACAGATAATTGCTCACCATACAATATTGTACGGTTGAATGTTAATATTCAAATCTTCCACGTAGTAACATAACGCTTGGCCTTTTGTTACGGAAAAAAACATCAGTAACGAAAAGTTTGATATTTTCTGCAGAGCAACGTAAAAGAGTTAATTAACTCTCCGAAAAAAAGGAAAATGCGGAGAAAAAAGTGGAACGGCAAAATTTTCTGAAGCGGAAGGGTTGAATACTTTAGGGTGCTGGCTGGCGAGCAGTCCAAGAGATGGCGAGAAAGGGGTCCAACAGTGAACTAGCGGACGAAACGGAAGCATTTGACACATTATGCAAGCACCAATCGCCCATGACAAAGCAAGTTTGAAGCAGCCCAACATCGCCAGTACTAGTACCGGCAAATTTGCAGGCATCTAAACATCACCTCCTACCTGAGTTCAGTGTTGTTCAAGCATGCTCACTCTCCGGTAAGCATTTTTCAGGAGAGGCATTCGCTGTCGTGAATGGCGGGGTTCACAGAAGGATGCGCAGCTCATAGTGAGGATGAGATAGTGCAGCATTCAGGCCCTGGTGCATCAAAACCCGGCACCATGGACATACATTTAGCTTAGGCCGGCTTGCTATTTACGTTTATGGCACCATTGTCAAAGTTACTGGTTTCACTCGTAATTGCGCATAAACACAAAAACGGCTATTTGCAGGGCTACATTCACACAATTCTATAGCGGGTTGAGACATTCAGGCTACATGGTGAATTCGCGAACAATGGCCAGTCCTCCGCCCCTCAAGCACCTGCAACACAGCTGCCACTTGGCCTAGGCAAGGGAAACAACATTACCGAACAAAGTCCGTTTTCTGGCCACTTCAGCGCGTCAGGTCGCTAGTCCCCGGACTCCTGAGTCTGTATGTACTATACTTATGTACTTAGGACGTGTATTTACGTATTTTTACGCGCTGTCACGTATAAAAATGTAAATAAGCTTTTAACGCATAATACATAAATGCACGCTGTGTTTGTGTCGTAAATGAAAGTCCTGATTTGAGGATTAGTTTTCTTTTTCCTATCTCTTGGATTCAGAGGGATTGTCTGTTGGTGTTTCACGATCGCAGCCATGAGTCAAGTGTCCTGGCCGTATGCCGACGCGCTGGCAAAATGGACCATTGCTTATTAAGGTGCCTTGCAAGCATGTACAGTATCATAAGATGGTTCCTGCCACATGAACGTGTTACGTCCTTCCATAGTAGTTTCACAGGAACATCCAAGCCCGGGCACCAGCAAGAAACCCCGTTTTTTCGCCAACTGGGATGCCATGTTGACACTAAGTGGCGCCGTCACGGTGATTACGTTAGCTAAAAGCAGCTGCGGTGGCAACAATGAATGTCAAATGGTATCACAGTTGGCATCGCCAAAGTATTTTGGCGATAGATTGAGGACATTGCATTAATGTAGTTATCTGCTTTTGGGGCGTGCTCTGTTGGCCACACTTGCATTGCGGTGGGAGATTGCTTTCGCGCTTGCCCGTTTGGGCGCACCGCCAAGCGTGTCGTCCGAGGTGGGGCACGGGCAAATGGTAAATATGCCCGCGGCTGTAGCTGTCGTTCGTGGTGGCATTTCAGTGTCCATGGCTGGTATCCATATGAGCGCCTTTCATTTGTGACAAACCCTTTGGTGCTGGGCCCATGCTAGCCTGGGAGCTGCCATGATACCACCAGATATGTCGGCAGTTGGTGAACTAGTGGGTGAGTACGTACAATTGGTAAGGGTCGAGGGAGTAAGCTGTTGTCGTGCGACCTGAACTGGATGCCCATCAATTCGTCAAAGTGGACAGAGTGGAGATTCTGAGACACACTGTTACAGCTAGAACTGATTGAGGGCCATTAATAACTGAATGCATGAAAATATGATGAAGCATTAGGAATTGCATTAAGGATGTTGATGAACGGACTGAATACAAAGGACGGAATCCCTGTTGTCCTTTTGCCTCGGCAGTAAACCGGTGCCGTGGACTCGAGCGTACAATTGCCCTTCAGGGATCGACACCCCTCGATCCCGGCTGCCTTCGTCAACACAACCACGAACCATCACTTCACTTTGCCACAAATATCATTCACGTCCACCGCAAGAAACGGGATCCGTTCGCCTGTGAAAGCTGCTCTCACGAAGCTGGACCAAATGCAATGCTTCCTGTTCCACTGGTGGACGCCAGAGCCCAAATGCCCACGAGGAACGGCGGCTCAATACACGCAATACACCCGCACTCCACAGCCCATGATTGCTGCAGCAGCAGTCAAGAGCAGCTCTTGATTTAAGCGCAAAAAAGCGGCAACGCTGGCTCGCCTGTGTGTTTGGTGCGACACACCTCTGTGTGTGCAGTTGTTGGTGAATGCGTCTCCTGGACCGCTTTTGTATACAAAAGCGTCCCTTACGTAAGGGGCATCTGGGTAGCTACCGATGTAGTTAACAACGTTCAACGCATTTCAAGAGTTCTTTATTGCAGGTGGGCAAGGTCTCATTGCATCAAAAGGCATGGAAACATTCGTGTGGCGGGGGTTGACACAGCCCCACACAGAGTCACATTGGTACAAGGAAGCTAGCTTTGTGGAAGGTGTCTTTTGGTTGAGACATCAACAGTGCAACCAATTTGCACCCATGGATAAGCGTGAACTAGATTCTCTGCTTCTAGCAGATACTTCTCCTGTCAGATCTAGTAGTAGATCTGGTATTATCCACTTCTACTATCTACTTCACTATAATATCTTCCCACCAATTCACGAATGTAATTCTTGAAGTGGGTTACTGGAGCGACATCCCGTCTCAGATCTCACCTCCCTTTTGGCGCATTGCATCCATTTTGTGCACATTCAGCAGAGTACGTGTATTGATGCGAATAACATGGGAAGCTGCCTCCTGCCACGTGGCTTCCAGGCGAATTCTCCCAGTTGCATAAACACATCTGAAAGTTTTAAGCGGAAAACCTTGGCTGTTTATCACCAAGATGACAAAGGAGCGCCTACCAAAATCACGACAAAAAGAGAGCAACTTTATTTCTGATATGGGACATGCTCGGGTGTGTCTTGCAAATGTTGTCTAGAATGCTTGGTCTTCAATCGAAGGGTCAACGGCATGCCAAGAGCAGCCAAACAAACTTGCCAATGTGCATGAAGTCAAAACTTGATGTGGTTCTCATCCGAGTCAATGGCAACAGGCCTTCCAGTCGGGACTTTTCGAGTAAGAGCTTGAATAAGCCCAGAACAAAACAGCCACTCAATACCTTGTCCCTTTCCACAATAACCAATAATCTCCAAACAATGCTGGTCGACTTTCCAGCTCCACAAGTACGTGCTCTTGGCAATTTTCTTCTTGGCCCATCCCCACTACCTCATCCCCTTCATCATCACATTGCTGGTGCTGGGATATGAATTATTGCACAGAATCCGCCACCACTCTTCCACCATCTGCAAACATGTTGACCATCTATCACCCTGTTCGGAGAGCAAGTCGCAGGATAGCGTTGTCATTATTAGGCAGACAAGAGACAGGAGTAGCCCGCCTTGCCAGTGCCACACGACCTTCCACATGCCTCAGACCCTCATCTGTGATCAGTTGACAATTAAGCAAGTTCAAGCTCTTCAGTGAATGCAGTTTTGTCAACTGTTCCACTCCTCTATTGGTGATTTGAATGCAGCCCTCCAAATTCAGGTCTGTCAGCCTTGTCAGTTTCACA